CTCGGGCTGGTGAGCGCCGGTCGGCGCCGATCCTCTGTGCGGGAATCTCTCCGCTTTGCCCTCCGCGCCCCTGTTGCTGTGCTGTCCTCCGCGGCTCCGAAGCTCCCCGCTCCGCCTCCCGCAATCTCTGCCCGCGAAGGGGCTCCTAGTGTGTGGAGACCTTTCCTCCTTCACGGCTCCCTCCCACTGGTGCAGGTACCGTCCTTATCCTTTTGTCTCTGTTTATTCTTTTTTCTCTTGCCCTACCCAGGTACGTGGGGAGTTTCTTGCCTTTTGGGAGGTCTGAGGTCTCCTGCCAGCGTTCAGTAGGTGTTCTGTAGGAGTTGCTCCACGTGTAGATGTATTTCTGGTGTATCTATCTGTGGGGAGGTGATCTCTGCGTCTTACTCCTCCGCCATCTTGGAAAAGACCTCTTGTATTCTTTAATAGCTAGGACTGTGATGGTTCCATAACTCATTTCAAACCATCTATTTATCTTGTTTAAGAAATTTTGTTTACACACATGGACCTTAGCTTAACAAACAAACAAACAAAAAACCCTGAGAGTTCACTATAGAAAGTAAATATAATTTATCAATTCTATGGTTATTGAGCATTAAGTCAATATCCCTGTGATACAATCAAGAAGTCATAAGACATGGTTCCCACACATTAAAATCTAACTGGAGAAGTCAGACATACAACATAAAATCACCATAAAAGACTTAGTTCATGTTCATGACCTCAATAGCAAAGATTTCCCAAGCCATCTGTGTTCATAGCCAAGTGAATAGACAGATGATGAATGCTATGGGACTGGGGAGTTTGGAGGGTTTCATGGAGGAGGTGGGGCCTAAGTTGTCCAGAGGATAGGTGGGAATTTAGGGCAGGGAAATAGCTTGGAGCCTTAATGAAGAGGAAGGAAATGCTAAAGTGGTGCTGAATAAATCTACCTAAGTAGGGTGGAGGATTTGCATTAGGGGTCTTCCTTACTGAGGTAAGGAATGAAGTATATGGAGACAGGGTGAAGAAAACCCTACATATGAAAACACAGAATTGGGCCCTTTTTTCCATCAGGTATGGAAGACCACTGAGGAATCGCAGGTAGTAGATGGCATGATGAAATCCAGGAAGCATGTAGCAGTCAGTCTCGCTCCCATTCAGAATCTGCCTTCTCTTGGCTGGGAAGATTGGGACCCCATGCTCATTCAGCTCTTAAGCTTTTTTCTTATAGTAAACCTTAGGACATTTGGGATAAAATAATCAATTCTACTAGGGCAGGCCACTGCTCCCTGGTGGGGCTTTGAATTATTTTCCCCCTCCACTCACAGAATGTCACCACCAGTGTCCTTCTTCCTCGTTCTTCCCTATTCACTAATAGTGCACACACATGCATTCAATAAGCATTTGTTGAATAATGTGCTAAGCATTGCTCTAGGCACTAAAATATAGTGGTGGATATATCAGGCAAGACCCGTGCTTTCATGGGGCTTACAACCTAGTAAAAGACAGACAATATATAGAAAATGTGCAAGGAAATAAAAACAAAATTATTTCAGATTGTGAAATGGGTATATGTTGATGTGATGGCAAGTAATTGAGGATGAGGAAACCTCTGCAAATAGTGTGGTTAGGAAAGGTCTTCCCAAAGACAGGACATTTGATCTGATGCCTCAGTGATAAAACACTATGGGCATTCAGAGCCTGGGGTATATTGTTCCAGGCAGACCAAAAAGTATATGCAAAGTTTCCAAGGCAAGACTGGATTTCATATATTAAGGTACTAAAAGGCCAGTGTAAGTGAAATATAGTAAGTAAAACTGCAAGTAGTATGAAATGAAATCAGAATGGAAAGGGACAAAGTCATGTCGATTCTTAGAGTTGTTAGTGAGCTGTTTGTATTTTATTCTGAGAGTGCTGGGAAGCCATTGAAGGGTTTTCTATGGAGAAGTCACAACATCTGATTTATGATTTTAAAAGATCACTATGATGCATGTAGAAGGATAGTAATTATACCATTGCATATAGAAGTAAAAGTCTGGTTAGCAACTAATTATCTATCAATAAGAACAAGGTAGAAAATTTCTTTTGTGTGCATACAATGGAATACGATGCAACTGTGAAAAAGGATGAGCAGATATTTATGTATTGATATAGATTGTAAGTGAAAAGGTAAGATGTCAGGCAGTGTGGGGTGTTTGCTATATTTGTGTAAAAAAATAAAGTAGGACTCTAAAAGAGGAGACTTTGTAAAGAAATGGATTCTCTAATGGTGCGATTCAGATGGTTCCCTACTGGTCTATGGTGGAGACCATCCAGATAGTGCTGGCCACACAACTAGCCATTCTATAACTGTCGGTCTGTCAACTTCTCTGGTGCCTTCACCAGCATAACCCAGCCACATGGCATCAGCCTGCCCAGGGCTGCCTGCTCCCATGTTTGATAGGTTATTAGTCTAGAAAGTTGTAGTAGGATCCCTGTTAATCACATCCAACATTTCCAAAACAAGGCAACTAAATAAGCAGTGAGCATGAAGCTGAGAATGAAGCTTCTTTATCTCAGAATGGTTGGGGTTAGCCTGCTATTTACCATGGAAGAAGTTTCTTTGCAGAATCAAACTTGGAAAGAGAACTGGGGATGGGGTGAGACAATGCCATGCTTTCAGAGGAGAGAGGAAAGGGGGATGCCGAGGGAAGGGAGCAACCTGCCAAGAAGCACCAGGGCAACCCGGGCCAGGTAGGCTCCTCCTCTGCTTGTCTTCAGCCACACACTGGGGCACTGAATTGCCTGTGGATAAAGTCAAAGCCAGCCCAGAATCCACCCTTCCCATGAGCTCACTGCTTTCCTCTGTCACCACCCTGCCTGGAGCTCAGGAAGTGTAATTCAGGAGTGAAACCTGCCCGGGACATACAGCAGCGTGAAGAGTGCGTTCCAGCACCAGAAGTGATCTCATGATGACCCACCTCTCCGGTTAATGCCATCCCCCTCCACTAACACTCACACACCCTTATGCACACACTAACACAAAATTCTCATTGATTCCCATTGATCATTATTGCCATGATATCATAGAAAGACCACCATCCTGGAGGAGAAGAGGTGACTCTGATACATTAAGCCGAGGCGTGGCTCTGGGACCAGCAGAACCAGGAGCACCTGAGAACTGGTTAGAGAAAGACATTCTTAGACCCCAGGACCCCATTACAAACCTACTGAATCAGAATCTCTGGGGGTGAGGCCCAGTTATCTGTTTTAACAAAGCCCTCCAGGTAATTGCGATGCAGGCTCAAGTTCTCAGCCTTGGCTACACATTGGTATCACCTGGGAAGCTTTAAAGACTGTTGATGCCTGGGTCACACTCCAGAGACCCTGTTGTAGTTGATTTGGGTAAGGCCTGGACAGGGAATCACCTCATTCATATTCTCTCTCTCTCTCTCTCTCTCTCTGTCTCTCTCTCTGTCTCTCTCTCTCCCACACACACACACACACACACACACACACACACACACACACACACACACA